TTATTTTTATTAAATTGTTGTGGGATTTGGCATGGCAGATTTGTGCTATTTGTTTAAGAATAACTCGAGGAGGGTCACAAGGCGCGGTGTGTATATTAGGAGCTGTCGCTCTGAGTTTGGCCACCCACCAGTTTGACCACATTCTGATAGGCTTTACCTTAGGAGGGTTATTAAGGAAGGCCGCCGAGGTTTGGGATAATGATAATGAGTCTTTTATTGACTGTTGCCATTGTTGCCAATTGGACTCATTCAGAATCAGGATAGGAGTCATTTTGCCGATACTTTCAAGACGTACAGTGAGCGTCCAGATTTCAGTTTTCTTTGTTGACTCTCTAATTGATTCCTTGAAATCTCCACTGTTTACGAATTGAATATCGCCGATTGTGATATCTTGTTCTGCGTGTAGTGAAGAAGATTCGGTATCTTCTGCCTCTGAGGAGGGCTTAGGTGATAGTTTGGACATAATTGTGTGTGGGAGTCGCTGCGAGAATACGGTTCACGCGAAGGTGGGAGCACGTAATCAATGAGAATACAAATTGACGCTGTATTTACAGTGGAAGCATGAGGGCTCATAACCTGTAGAGATGAAGCATGAAGATTTTATTGTGTGTTTCTAGCTAATTTCTTATCTTCAATATATCACGTGAGATGACTCACGTGAGAAGTGACGTACTACCACTACAAGATACAATACACTTAGTGCAAAGCAGTATAGTTAACGGAAGACCCAGAGGAAGGGTCCTTGTCAGGTTCTCTGGGACTTGGTCACTTAACTTGAGAAAGGTAAGCGTGAGATCTTGGATTCTTGATGGTGAAGATGATATATTAACAAAAGTCTAGGTTCTTGATTCTTGATTCTTGAATAACTAAGGAATAATACAAGACTGAAAGCTGGAGAGCTTTCTACATGAAGATACCTCAGCTACTTATACTTCGATACTATCTGCTACAGACTACAGTAATCTAGTTCCAGCCCGATTCCTGTCGAACTCCTGAGAGTGACCTAGAATCTGATCGAAGCTCAGTGAACTGGTAAGAGTACAAAATACCATCCCGAAATATCTAGAAACTAATTGCTAGAATAGCTTAGAACGCCATCGAAGTAACTAGAACTTGTCTAGAGGGATACCAGCTGAAGCTAGGATCAGACTCTACCTCAACACCATGAATCTATCCATGACATAGCAGTAGCAACATAGTCTTAGAGCCAGAGGTTGGCAGGATACCATCTCAACATCAGTCAGTCCGTGACAGTCCTCTTGGTGTATTTTTAGTTTGGGGCAACTGGCAGGAGGGCCAGGGCCCAGGCAGTTTATGCCGGGATCTTAGGAGCGTCGACACGTCGGGTAGTTTTTCTAGACTGAGCTAACCGGCATGTGGCCTTGGGAAACGTGTTGCGCGCTGGCACGACGTAAAATAAAAAACAAACGTGGTGCAAAGCAAATTGAACCACTTTCCGATTTATCAATGAATATATCTCTTCACAAAATATTTTAGCTATTCTAGCGTAAATTTAAATTCCAAAATCATATACCAATTATAATAATACTCAAAAACCTGCAGCCCCAGCCAGGCGATGCCTAGATATCGGAGTCACATTAGGTACGTGTATCCATGATTATCTCCGTCCCTGATTAAAAAAGACTAGCTTAACTTATTGTAATTATGAGGAGAGGAATTGCACACAGACCGTGGCTTTATCAATATGTGCTTGACACTATTATGAAGTGGACGATGATATGTGTTCGCTTTATTAGATTCGTTTCCTGATCATTGCTATCTATATAAAGGAGAATACTCCTATTTATATCTAAAGCTCATCTGTCTAATTACTAGTAGGCTATTCCATCTTGTGATGTAAGATATTTTATCGTATGCTAAAGGATAGTTTACATTCTTGTTCAAACCATCCACATGCAACTGTTATCATGTCACTACACCAACCACATCTTGTACAGATCTCTATATCATCTAATACAGCTTGTCTAATTGGCTGAATGATTTCACATCATAACATAACTGCATCTACTGCCGTTGTATTAGGAGCTGGTTATCATCTGTAAATCATTTGATTGTCTACCCTCCATGAACAGGAAAAATGATTGGATGAAAAGTAGGTGTCAAACTCGAGGGTACCAGGGGTTGTGTTTTATGGATAACTTAGAAGTGCGAGTGATATCTGACAAGATTTGTCACAGACTAAGGTATTAATTCGGGATTCTAGCTATAACTGAGGACAAGGGACAAGAGAAACTAGGACAAGAGACAAGGTCAATGGAAGACGGAAAACAAGACGTGGCCCTCTACATCGGCTCTACCCAACCCATATATACATCATAGTAACCAGAGCAACTAAGGCTTCAATGGGTGCGTCTGCTGCTAGTCTATTACTTCATTTGTAACCCATAGCAACCATTGTAACCCGGTAAACGCTCCAAGATGAGAGAATATTCAGATGTAGTGTAGGGAAAGAATATGAGGGTGCTGCTCTATCCTCAGTTCCTGACAGTAGGGCTTCGTCCTAATAATACTGGTACTTTAGTTTATTAACGTAGTGGGTAAAGTGTTAGAAATTGTCAAGGATTTCTAGGAGGAAATATCTCGAAGAACAAGTGTACAATTTCGAACAAGAATTTATTGATAGTTGTATATGATATTGAACTCTCTCCTCATTATGAATTAATAATATAAAATATACCGTTAACTTAGTTTAACATATACAAGTAATTCTATCCTTAAATACAGATCCCCGAGGCTTTAGTGATCCCAAACTCGAAGTGATCTAGCAACAACCAGCCAATTAATTATCGCAAGGTAGCATTTCCTAGACACTGCATTTCAGATACCACTGAGCCTCATGTTGTTCATCTGAGCTTAATCGTATGGAATCGAGTCAATTCAGTTGATCTTGATGATCATAGCTAGAAATCTAAACCTTCAAACATACTAAGTCTAGATTTCCAACATAAAGTGATACTCATCGCACTCCTACTGGGGCTTAAGCACGACTGGGGCCGGGCCGTATTAAGTTAACTACCGTGAGGTACAGATAAACCTCGTCCCACTGAAATGAACGAACCACCTCAGACTTCACATATGTGTTGAATCATACCAAGCCTGACCGTCAGAAACCCGTTGTAAAGACGCCGTAGTGCAAAGTCCTCCTCAGCCTCGGCCACCATGCGCCCGAGCCCTTGATATCCTCATTGATTCCGAAATATAAATTTCGTCTCAGATCACTTTGTTTCTCTAGTCTTGCACCTCCATATCGTACCGTTGGGTTATTGTCGTCATTGAGGACCTAAACTACCGCACAAAAGAAATATCTCACCGGCGCACATTCCCTATTTCCCTACATCGCAAACGACCAGTTTCCATCATCACCTTCTTTATTAGGGCGTGCGTGAATAGGTGGTGCGATGAATTTGGAGGTAAGTCACAGGTGTAGGATCGAACGAAAAAAAAAGACTCGTCGCCAATACATGAAGAGTTTGAGGGGTGTCTGTTGTTTGAATGCGACCCCCAGATAGAACAAGGCCTATTCGTGAATCGTATATTCGTGGTTATGAGTTTTTGTTCGACTTTCATGCGTTTGTAGAATCTTTTTCGATTGAAATTTTGACCATAGTACCAAGTGCAGCTCCTTCGAGCCGATAATCCATCTACCGTAACTCAACTCACCCATGTTCGTGACTTAATCTCGGCTCCAAGGGATTATTTCCCCTCAGGTGCGTAGAGAATATTACTCATAGGTGTGCAGCTTTCGTCCTCCCATAGTTGAGGAAGTCTTGCCTGGATAGCCAAAGGTTTTGAAACTTCCACTGGGCTGGTACTGATGGGGGAGTATTGACAGCTATGCGAAAAGGAAAAAACTCATAGTTTTATGTGCGAATAAAATCTAGAGTTATTATGTCACAAGGCAAAAGAGTCATGAAACATCCACACAAACCACTGATCATGTGTCATAGATCCGAAGTTAGATGAAGAGTGATTGATTTGAGATAGAAGAATCAGAGGTGTGATCCATACATACGCAGATGTATGGCCAGTAGATGAAGGAACCAATAAACTCTGTTGCCCTCTTTCCTTGCGCGACATCATCCCCGGCGCATAATTCCACTCGCCAAGTTCTGCTTTTATTCCCTCAACCTAATCTGGGAGATGACGTGAACTCTATCAGACAATTCCGCCCATTCCGGATGAAGTTGCATTCACGGTAATATCATCTGGTTGTCTTGGCTTGTTGCTTGATTAAATGGTGCTATGTTCTGCGCTGTTGTCACATAGATTTATCACAGGCTACTGGTGACTTGAAGAAAAAATGCCCTCAAAGTAGTCAAGTGAGGAAGCTGCAACAACTCTACTTCTAGACATTGATTGTTAAATGCATTTTCATTCCAAGTTCCATAACTCTGCGCTCTTGCATCACTATTCTGCAAAAAACTTATAGAGACCCGCATCTACCTATTGTTGACTGGATTGAATTTTGGAAAATGAGTTGTGTTTTCTCTATTCTATTTGCTGCCATAGGACGAATGGTTGTCACGGGCTCAGACTATGGAAAATCAAGTTATGGGGTCTATCAAGTTTCCGAGGACTACGAGTTTCTCTTGCCAGATATCTCTCTTGGAATACACGTCTCAGGAAGCAAGATCACCGGTCCTGGCACACACGTTGTTGCATACTGCTCTATCTTGCAAGGCGTTGATGAAATAGCTGAGATAATCACCAAACCTCTAACGGAAATAACTCACTGCCCAGAACGTGGTGACCAAAAATACGAGGCTACAACGGAGGCATGTTCGAAACACATAGCGGCTGAATATGTGGAAGGAATACCACTTCATATGTCTAAACTTATAAGTGAGAAAAGTTGTACGGATAGGAACATTATCGATCTCGCCTACCAGGGAAGGATTAGAGTCATCGGAAAATATTCATGTTTTGCACCGTCGGGTAGTATTTCGCCAATCATTATTGATGCTGACCATCCTATAAGCATGAAAAATTTCCTCAGTGGAAGGAAATTACTCAAGGGAGAAGGAAGTCTGGCCTCCAGGAAGAAAAGCGCTGGGGAAATAACAAATATTCCAGTCAGGCTAATGAAAAACATGAGTGAGAAGGAAGAATTTTTAACGTTTGTCAAAGGGATTAAAGATCCGACTGATCAGACGGTACTGGTTTGGTATCAGGGAAACCTGCACCTCTTACATCGTCGACCCTCAAAATTTCCGAGACAAAATTTGTGGAATCCACTTACTCTTATTGGGCACGAGCTAGAAAATGCACCATTGCTTGCTAAATTTGTGAATAAGAGCTTTCCCCAAATTGACGAGTTTACTAGAAAAATGAAGCAGTTCAGGACTTCATTCGTAAGGGATGATTTGAACATCAACTTAGTTGAAAATACAATCAGAACTATGAACCACGAAATGTTTTATCGCCTGCCTCGAATGTTTGATGAAATTCCCGGATATGTTCACGGTCCCGATTTCAAAAGAAGACACAATATTTATATTCAAGAAAATCCCGATACTTCTCTCTCGGTTAAAGACTATCCCAACTGTCCACCTCGGTACTATCAATATGCTAATCCTAATAATTTTGTACTTTCTATGTTTGGTGAAATCATTTCAGTACCAAGTCAGTTTGATAATGTTTTACCTACGGCAAAGTTTACAGAAATCCCGGGGTTTGGACAGTTGTGTATTCCATCAGACTGAGCAGAGCATTCTGTGTATTGGTCATCGTGATTCCTAAACACCTCTGGATATTTGGAAGGCATTGGCATTGTAAGCGTAGATGGAAGTCTCATGGTTTAGTCTTCATTTGTTCAATCTTTGAACTTTGGCTCAGAAGGAATAGATAATAAGATACTGCCACCAAGACATGATTTTTCGAACCTTTTAAGCTGGCTCGGAAGCTTTAGTGACTAAAACTGGAGGTATCTGGAAGAATAGCTCGCACAAGAGCTTTTAATTGAAAGAAATAAAAGGATGTAATTGTCTGTCTGTCTTCCTCTCTCTCTCAACTCATAAATCTACACATACCTAATACTTGATATCTGTTGTAATTAGGGGAGTAACATGACTGCATTATAATAAACTATTCACATCAGAATTATGTGCACACGCGCCATGAGATATAATTGACCCAGATCATCACTTATTGGAATGACCATAGTATCTATTGGCGCAAGGATCTCTCACATCCTTTCTTTCTTGGTTGGACAAGGACATATGTTGGAACATCAACTAGTGTGTAGGAACATCCTTATTCATGTATATAGAGGAAGGTCCTGTCACGCAGATAATACAATAGGAAATTCAAACAATCTCCATATTATTCACACACTTGAGATACCAGGGAATATCCTCAATTTCGTCCATTGATTCAAGTCCTAAGAGCATAACTCACGAACTTTACTTCTCTTAAAGCCATAGCTACCTCCTTCCATACCTTCATCCTAACGGTACGTCATTCCAGGTCAGCATAGCCTTTCAATAATAACTTATGATAGTATCTAGAAATAGCTTCCTTACATCACAAGACACAATCCAAACACGTTGTAACCAAGATAAAATCCTAAAACGACTCAAAACCAGTCCACCACGTCTCTTACACGGAAGCCAAGTCATTTCTTGGGGGACTATTCTCAACACCTGTCAGCGGTGTCCCCTACGAACCTCCAGCTCTCACTGTAGAGTCTGCAGAGCCGAGATTGAGTAACAAAGTCCTCACTTCGAAGAGGATTCCCAATCGCTTTCGCGGTCTGTATCGTCTTCATCTCTCAACACATTCCCCTATCACCATTATCATGAAGCTAACCACGATCAGATCAGATGGTAGGGTCGGAGCTCTACTCATCACCAAACTTTGATCACGGAGGAAAAGCCATCCGATGAGTTTCCGGAGCGTACCCAGCACCCGATACGGAGATGGTGGATTGGATCAAGTCGGCCTCGACTGTTACAAAGAAGGGAGATATAGATGAATATGCGCACCTCATGTGGTCCCGGTGTCTAGGCCTCGCCTGGCTGGGGCTGCAGGTTTTTTGAGACTTTTTCCCGCGCACGCAGTTTCCATTGCTACCATTTTAATTTTTTTGGGTAGAAGGTTTCGTGGAAAAGGTGGCTGAATTCCACGGGTAAATACTGAGCTGAATGGCTATTCATCAAGGGGAATATATCAATGATCTTTCAAGTAACAAAAGAGGATAGGAGCACTGTACAAGGTGTGGCCTGGGTCAGAGAGGAGCCCAATGTGCTAGATAGTCATAGACTCAAGTAGCACAATAAACACAAACACACACACACACAGTCATTTCTAGCTGAAAATTACCCAAAATGACAAGAATTTCCCTGAGGCGATCACAAATTATGTCAGATACCAACTTTACATGTTATTCTATGGGAGGGGGGGGGGTAATTGTGATAATGAGGTTATGAGAAGACTGAGAATCGTCGCCATGGAGGTAACAGTCAAATTGGGTGGATATAGGATAGCGTTTTGTGACGGCTTGTGAGCTGATAAGTCCTGTAGCCTTCGATGGCTATCGAAGGCTACCTATATTCTCTATCACTCCGAGAATTATCAGCAGACGAAAACTGATACGAGATCGCCACTGAGGCTACGTAAAGGATAGTGCCAAGAGTATCGGAAGCGTTACCCGTGTGGCAGAACAAACCTTTAGTCAGTTTCATTCCCACTGTAAGTGTAGGCTAGATTTAGATACCGCTGAATGTGTATAAGTAGTAGAGTAGACTTGCAGGTAGTTTGCTTCTACATAGATGAATTATAGCTTTACCTTTCAATCATACAAATGCCCATTCGCTTTCTATATTTGAACTGTGACACGTTTTATGTCTAACGTGAAGAAGACGGATATGTATTGTAGATCTGCTATATTGATGACTATTGCAAATGATTGTAGTACATATTGATTTTGTGCATATGTCTAGCAGCGAGTATTTATACACAAATACAGTACACAAAATATACCATCAATAGTAATGACCCCCAACAATTCAGCCATTCAACAATTATGTCATTACAGTGCCTCTAGGTTACAAAATCTTAGGCTTGAAACTGGGTTGTTTCAGGGATTAGCCCTGTAGGTGCAGTTCGGCTAGCTCACAATAGGTTAAACCGTCTCTCCTTATTACACCGCTTGCCATCAAGTATGGTCCAAGGCAAAGCACAACCATTACCACAATTTTGCACAATCCAAAGTGACGATATTGCATTCCATTTACGACATCTTACTGTCACTTACATCTCTCAATCACCTATACTGCCCCAGTCCTCCGCAGAGGCTGGCTCCTGGCCACCTCTCCCCACCCAACACGCGACGCGCCAGGACGTCGAAATGGATCTCAACAATCCACAATACACACTACCGCCTACACCACACAACACCACACCAGACTCAGTCTGCTGCGCGAGTCAACAGCACTCTCCAAACCCGAGCCCAAACCCCACGGCTGTCAACATGACCAACTTTCTCGCCGAACAAGCGAGGGCTTTCCAGGAACGTTTTGCGGAAGCAGAGCGCATCGTCGGCGGGTACTGCAACCTGCTCGAATCGACAACAGACGAAGAGTTCCGACAAGCCATCGAACTCACCAGTTTGGCTCTTCAAAGCCGGATCACAGTAATTCTGCGGGGTAATTCAGCCACCCCCAAAGCCACAGCACCAGCTCAAGCTGCTAGTGGTCACATCATCAAACCTCGACTCGAGACAGCTAAAGAGTCGAGGAAGAAGACTATTGCGAGCGTCGTGCGTCCTGTATGGATCCTCGCCAGGGAAAACACGAGATTAGGAGCAGCCACACCACCCGCTGCTTCTGCGACACCAATCCCTACCCATGGGACAGAACAAACCACCAACCAGACTCCCGAGAGATCCTGGATAGAGGTGGTGCGTAAAAAGGCTAAGCTAGCAACCACAGCTGCCACAAAAACAACCACTGGCCACACGCCCACATCGAAACCCAAGGCATCAGCAGTGATGCAGGAAAAAGCTGACGAGCGCGTATTCTTACGGCTCAAACCGGATCACCCGTGGAGACGCATGTCTCCACATTTCATAAAAATAAGCCTGGCTAGTAAACTACGCCTGGCTAACTCATCGATCAGACAAGTCACAGTCGTGAATTCTGGATTTGCCATACAAGCTGACGGGGAAGGAGCAAGAAGCGCGCTACTGACAGGAGCGAATACCCTAGACAGCTCTGAAATGAAGTTGGAAGCCGCGTCCAATTGGATATCAGTGCTTGCACCCAATATTCCAGATAGGCTATATACCCTCGAGGGACCAGTGCCAGTCACGCCAGAAATGGTGATCGAAGAAGCCACCCTCAAGACCGGCGTCAGACCAACATCTGCTCGCGCTTTTGCGACTAGCATGGCAAGGCCATCAACAGACTGGGTGCTACATTATGCGACAGCAAAACCAAAGCTTGGTGAACTACTATTTGAAGAAAGTGGTCGGCTGCACGAACTCCAGCGCAAGCCAAAAATTGCTCAATGCAACCGATGTTGGGGACACCACCCTACAAAGATCTGCTCGCGAGCAGAACGCTGTTTACGATGCGGCTCTGTCGAGCATAAGGCCACCAATTGCAAACAGGCTATCCCGAGATGCATAAACTGCCATGGACCACACTCTGCCGTCGAGCCTAACTGCATGGCTAGGCCGACGCGGGTTGCTGGCAAAACGGTACAGCGCACAAGAGACCAGCTGGCGGTAATTCGCGAACAAGGTCAAAAAGAACGGAACGCTTCGATCAGAGAGATGGAAGCAAAGCAGAAAGCCACCGAGGCTACTGCCGAAAACGAAAATACAAACGTTGCTCAATGCCCGTAAGGGACCACAACCCAACCGAGCTTCAAAAAATGGCAACAATAATATTGTTCCTCTGTGCTAATCTGGGCAGAGGAGACCCGGCTACGGACATCATCCTGCAATCCTCTTGGGATTCCGGAACCGATGTCCTACTTATCCAGGAACCCTGGACTCAACACAAGGACAGCTTCTGGCTCACCAAGTCGCATCCCGGATTCGATAGGCACTTGCCTCCCCGTGTCGCTGCTAACTCTTCAAGGCCACGCTCCCTCATCTACACGCGAAAAGGGATCAAGTGCCAACAGCAAGCAATCTGCGAGACATCACCAGATCTCACTGCAGTAAAGGTAGAAGGAGTCATATTTGTCTCCGTATACCGCGCTCCTGGGGCAGACCTTTTGCCGCTGCTATCATGGGCTCCATCTGGGCCTATTGTTATTGGCGGAGACTTCAATGCTGTTCACACTGACTGGCAGCCAATGGCTACTAGGCTACACGGTGACGGCCAGGTGCTCATCGAGTGGATGTTCGGGCACGGCATGGACCTATCTTCCACACCGGGCGTCCCGACACACGACTTTGGAAACACACTCGACCTGGTCTGGTCTAACGCTGGTGCCCTTGCAGATATTTCGATAGAGCTTGACTCGACATCAGATCACAGAACTCTTGCGGGAGACGTTCCGCGTCCAAACTCGAAAGCCAGAGCTGTAATCAAAACTGGTCAACCGTTCCGAGTGACAGACGACGCCCTCGAAGACTTTGCCAAGGTACTTGGTAGATGGGCTCATGGAATAGGGCTACAGCCAATGGACTCAATAAGCGCGGTAGACAACCTCGCTGATAAGCTGGTCCAAACCATTAGCGATGCAATTA